GACTCTAGCACCATGGGAGAAAAAGCAAGTGACGATGCTCTTTTATGCCAAGAAGTTTGAAACGGTTTGCACTGCAGCAAGAGATCATCCAGATGCTAAGAGTTAGGTTCAGAGTAGACTCCTGATCTGTGCAACTTCATTAATGCATTTGTAAAAGATTTAACTATAATCATACAACAAAACAAGCATCAGCTCTCCTAGGTGGGAAAGTGTTGTCAAACGCCGTAGAGGAAAATTGTTGGAAGATGAGTACGTTCAAACCGGCGAAGTGTGAGACTTCAGGCGTTGACAAGTGTTATTGCAAAACACTTAGCTATTATTTTTGACAACACGTGGAATACTGAGGTCCCAGAGAGGGAAAAAGCTACATCTTTTCAAAAGGAAACAACTTCTGAGGAAAGGAGAAAAGCAGAACAAAATGCAAATTTATCAATGTGTGAACACCAGGCAGAACTTAAGGTCTTGAGCAACCAGCTTGGCTGGAAGGAGATGGATTCAGGGCCAGGACCAGCTCACAGCCTCCAGGGAGGGTGACAGGCTGTGTGAACAACTGCAGAAAAATCAATGACTGTGTTTGGGCTTCTTGGGTGTTTGACTGCAGGTGAATGAATCAAATGCCTCTTCAAAGAACTGCATCAGAGAAGATGTGATACATGTCTCCTGCCTCTGGGGGCGCAGCTCATACAACCTTGTGAGCTGGAACCCCCTAGTGTCACGTCTCTTCCACTGATTATCCTTCTGTGTATCCCGGTCAGACCCTCTTCCTTCTTCTGGTTCAGTTTCTCGAGTGACTGCATCTCCAGTCTCCTTGGAGGTGGGAGAAGGGCAGACAGCAGTCACCAAGCTGGGGAGGGACACCTAGCCCACTGTTACGAACTGCCGCCAGACACATACCTTTCTTTCTAAATCCAATATTCCATCTCTCCCATCTGCAGTGCAGTGGACCGAATGTATTTGTCCCTTGCAATTCATAAGTTGAAATCTTGACCCCCAGTGTGATGGTATTAGGAGGTGGGGGCTTTGAGAGGCGATTAGGATTGGTGTCCTTATATGAGGGACCCCAGATTGCTCTCCTGTCCTCTCTCTGCCATGGGAGGATGCAACAAGGGGACAGCAGCCGGTAACCCAGAAGACGGCTCTCACCGGAACCCGACCACAGTGGCCCCCGATCTCAGACTACCAGCCTCCAGAACTGTGAGAAATAAATGTCTGTTGTTTATAAGCCACTCATTTCATATTTTGCTATAGCAGTGCGAGCTAAGACAGAGGCCAAATCTGTGTCCCTTCCAAATGCATTGTGTCCCCTCTTCCCTCTGTAACGATGCCCTGAAACGCCCTACCATTCTCCCTCCCATGTGTCCCCTGTATCTAACTTTGGCACCTCTCCTCTCTCAAGAGTCAGTTCAGTACAAATGAACTTATTTACAAAACAGAGACAGACTCACAGACATAGAAACAAACTTATGGTTACCAAGGGGCTAAGGGGTTGGGAAGGGATAAACTGGGAGTTCAAAATTTACAGATACACGCTACCATGTATAAAATAGATAAATAACAATGTCCTACTGTATAGCACAGGGAACTATATTTAATAATCTGTAATAGCTTGTAATGAAAAAGAATATGAAAAGGAATATATATATTTATATATATATAACTGAATCCTTATGCTGTATCCCAGAAATTAACACAATGTGGTAAGCTTTTAAAGAAAATGTCAGGCCAGGCACTGTAGTAGAGGCTGGTGGCCCACTACCGGATCCCCGCTAGCTGGGCAGATACACCCACCCCCCCCACTGCTGTAAACACTGGCTTCTAACAGCCCAAAGCTACGTCCTTCTTCAGAAACTCACCCTCTTCCAACTGGAGCCTTGTCTCCCAGAAAACTGTAGGAGGTTAGGCCCCTCCCACCTCTGGGACTGTGACTGATGGGGAAGGAGTACAAAAGTCTGGCCTCTTTGGCTGAAAGAGGGACAACGCTGGTGTAACTCACAGTCCCCCCAAATACCCCCCGGGACTGGAGGCTAGACTCCAGCAGGAGCCACGCCGGAGCGTAGCTTCGTGCTGCTCTGTCTTACTCCCCTCACTTGCTGGCAGCCGTCTTTGGATCTCCCTCAGTAAATCCCTTGACAAGATTTCCCCTCCAAGGATCTGCTTTGACAGAACCCTACCCAAGCAGATGGCGTCCCTTCCGGGGAGACATTCCACTGCCTGACCGTTTTCCAGCCGGACTGATTCAGGGGCCCCTCTTTGGGGCCCACAGCTCTTTTGCTGAGTCCTGGGATCACTGATTTACTCGTCATCCTCCCTGAGACTAGCCTCCCTGGCAGCAGAAACCCGGACCTGTTCACCCCCTCCACCCCTCGCTGCACCCGGGCCTAAAGCGCATGCTCAGGAAAAGTTTGATGACTTGAACTCCTGGGGACCTTTCTGACACAGAACATGCTCACAAAACAGACAGAGGTGAGTAGATGAGCCTAATTTTGGCCTCCCCTGTTGGAAGATGGTTCAGGAACAAACACAGAGATGGTTATAGAGACAGGGTATGGGCCCTAGAATGTTGGTCACCACCACTGACAATGCTCTGTGGCCTGAGGTCTGGGTCAGTGAGTGGTGACCACACCATCTACATGCAAGGCACTGTGGAATAGTCCTCTTTTTATTGTGATACATGGGCCCTCTCTTCAAACAACCTCCAATCTAGTTTGGAAAAGTTGGTTATAAATATATGAAAGTAGGACATGAACCAGCTTCCAGCCACAGTGAGGAACAGGAAGAAACAGGCTTAAACCACAGCGGGAAGTTTGGGGAAATCTATGAATCGACTTCCTGATTGTCGGGGCGGTGGGAGTCCC